TCACTCATTTCTGTAAGAGTTCAATCAGACTTTAAATACTCTCCTCAGCTGCAACAAAAGGAGACACTAGATGTGTATAACAAAGGCACTGGCCATGGTGGGGGGCTTGGAATTACGTGATACTTAAGGTCCCTTTCAACAAAACCATTCTATGATTCTATGGATAACACACAGGCATCAGCCATGCAAGTATGAGAATTTAATCCTCAGAGTCTTGCACAACAGATTTTGTCATCTAAAAGCAGAATATCCTACGCTTTTGTGTGGGAGCTTGCAATTTGTTCACTGAAAACCTAATTCAGCAGTATATGCAAACACAAATTTAAAAGTTTTGGTAGAGTGGGCTTTAAGTAGTATTAAATATTAAATGCATTATGAAATATAAGTGATTATATTCATCTACAAAGGGATTTTGTAAACCATTCTACCCAGATAGATATACAGCTGGCGTGATGAACAAGATTTATGATTCTCACTCCCTTTTCACAGCATTATGACCATTTATTTTTAAATATCAGACAAAACAAAAATAAGTAACAAGTAATGACTTCCTGGATGGTGTCCCCTGCACAAAGTACTACCAGTGACTGGCAGATGCATAGTTATATTCGGATTTCTCCAGATTTGGAGCAAAATGCCACACTGCAATAGTGTATGTAGCGTTGAGGTATCAATTATTAATTCTGTTGTCTTGTGTGTGGTACTGGCTTTTCATTTGCAGGAAGCTGAATCAGTTTATGTTTCTTCCCAACTGAACAGTGGAAGATTTCTACATCTTTCTGTAACACAGGAGAAAGAAGCAAAGCAACAGCAAACCACACAACCAAAGGACTATCAGAGACAGAAGGCAAGAAAGCTCCATGTTGCGTCTGGAGAACTAGATTTCCGGCTGAATAACACTGCATTTTCCATCTACGGTACTAGAATAGTTAACCTCTAAAGATTTTTTACCTACACTCCTATCAAAGAGTGTAAAAGCAAAGATATCCTGGCTGTTGTCCAAATGAATGAACTTTGGCAGTAAACACTACTGACTCTCAAGAGACTGTGAAAAATATATGTTAAAAAATACCAGCAGGTGTATATCAATGGCTATTTTTTAATTATGAGCCTTAGTAGCATGTGGGTTTGTCAAGGGAACTGAAAAGCTGAAGAAGAAACTGCAATGTTACAAAATAAACGTATTTTTGCTACAGTATCTCAGGATGTTTTTGGAAATATTTTGTCCTAGTATGAACACAGTAGAAAACTGCATTTGCTACAAAGTAGTCTGAAAATTTCAGACTGCTTTGAGAATTTCTCAATTCGGCGAGAATTTCTGCTGTGAAGATTAAGTGGTTTGCAAATTTTTGCAAATTACTCAGCAACAAAGAGCACCATGCAAAAGTTAAGATTACCTAGGGAGACCTGTGTCTGTGAAGATGCAGTTAATAAGCAAACCAATGCAATCTTGATTCTAGCATGGCAGAGCCATTATAGCACAATTAAATTAGCAACCATGATTCAGTTATGTTCCCTTTTCTGAGAGCACTGCTCAGTGGTGGAATCCCTCACAGAGAGCTGACAACAAAGGCATGATGAGACCATTTGGGAGGAGCTGCTGAAAGAGCTCAACACCCGGGGAGAGTCTGAGAGGGTGTCTCTGAGAAACTTACTGCAACTCTAGGGTTGGCCCTGCTTCGAACTGAGTGAACTCCAGAGGCTTCCTCCAATCTAAATCATTTTATGATTCTGTATTGATCTGTTACCACTGGAGATTACCTGTTGCAATTAAGTAAAACCTACTTTCACTTCAGAACAGAAGCCGTACAGCTCCTCATCCTCCCATTCCTCCTGTGTGTTTGGCAGCTCGTTCCCGGGTGCCCATGGAATAGGTTTTTAACAGACCAGTCCAGGGTGCACTTAATGTTCCAGGAGATGACAAGCAGCCTACTCTGTAAATGTGAATCCCAGCAGGGATTCTTCCTGCAAACTTTCTGTATACACTCACTGCCATCTGCGCTGATTTGAACATATAGTGAGAAAGAATCTACACCACAAAATACTTCTTTAAAAACAATACAATTGGATAAGAAATTCTAACATAGATAAGGGCTGAGTTAGCAACAAATGCTGACAGGTGAGAATCAAGCCACAGGAATGCAAAATTATGGATACATCACAAACCCTAAAACTTTATGAAGTACAGGTTTGTTTTGTGTTGTATAGAGGCTGTATCATCAGAACCTTTTGCTTCAATGGACCCAGACCTGTATCATTACCTTCACCCTGTGCCCCAGCAAGGAACAGCAAAGCTAAAAATTCTTTTACTCCCATCATTCATCTGACTCTTTGCTTAGATTTAGACCATTTTTGCTCCTCTCCTGGAAATCCGATACTGCCTTTTATAGTCACTCTGTTTCTCCATGACTGACTCTCCTCCCCTCTCCCCTGAGAATTTTAGAAATATTTTTCCCATAATACAAATTAATTTTCCACCAAATATCTCAATTTCACAAGCAATTATTTGGAAGGAGGAAATCATTCTGGTTTATAGATTTTTTTTATAGTATTCTTGCAAAGTTTTCTCAAAAGCTTAAGGCCAGCTGTTCCAGACCCCTGCCTATTTCCAGGTTGTGGTTTGTCACTACTGAATATATGTATGAGCATTACATGACCATCAACACCGCACTTCTTCAGCTGGAAGGCTCCTTCATCCTCCCTCCCTAAGATATTTTGTTATCTGTAGTACTGGACCTGACTAAATGCTCTTCACAGCGGCTGGATGGGCTGTCATTGCTGAACTGCATTGGCACCAAGGCCTTTTCTGTTTCTCACTCTGTTGTCACAGTGAACAGACCGGGGGTGCCAAACGGGGGAGCAGGTGACACCACTAAAGCAAGGACAGCAGTACTCCATGCTGTGTAACATCGTGCTCCCGGGCAGAGAGAGAAATCAACCATCTTTTTCTTGGGAACTGGCATACCCCTGGGGAGTGGACAGTGACTGCCTCAGCACTTCTTCTGGTTTCCTTCTCTCTCATTTTTATTCGGTACCTTGCCCTACGAGTTTCCTCGCTTTTCCTTTTCCGTTTCCCCCCACACTGGGCATGGAGCAGAAGCGAGCAAGTGGCGTAGTGAACAGGCTGCCCAGAGAGGTGATGGAGTCTCCCTGTTCAGGAACCGTCTGGAAGCAATCCCGAGCCATGTGCTCTAGGCTGACCCTGCTTGAGCCGGGATTTTGGCCCCGATGATCACAGTGGCGCCGCCCAGCTTTTGCCATCCCACGATTCCGGGCAGCCCGCCGGGGTTACGGCGCAGCGCCTGCTCACGGTGCCCGCGGCTCCCCGGCCATTCCCGCCCCGCGGCGGCACCGCGCGCCGCGCCTCGCGCCTCACGCGCGGCACAGGGACCCGCCCCGCCGGCACGTGCGGGAGGCGCTCGCGCCGCCCCGCGCGCCTATAACGGTACCGCCGCTCCGGGGCGGCTCGGCCGCTGCTCCGCGGCCGCCGCCGCTCACCCCTCGGGACCCGCGGTGTCCCACTCCCCTCCCTGCTTCCGGCAGCGGAGGGGGCGGGCTGCGGCCCCTCGGCGCGGGTAGATGTGGGGGGAGGGAAAGGAGGGACCGAGGGGGTCGACCCCGTCGTCG